CCCCCCCCCCCCCCATCCCCCAGCCTTTCATGTTTCGACAACACCACATTCGGGTTTTAATAGACTTCAAGCACAGGAGGTCTAAAGAAAATAATTTACAATAATAAATGTATTTGACAATAGGGACACTGTATAAAACATATGCTGATCATTTTTTAAGAAAATCAAAAGGCTTCCTTGTGTCATCCGTAAATTCGGCATTTAACTACCGGGAATAAAGTTTCCTCGTGGTTTTTGCAACGCTCTCACTTAAAACATTAATAAGTTTTTGTAATTTTTTTCCCTCATAACTCTGAAAGCAGAAACGGCCAATACTATTGCATGGCACATGAGCAGCCTGGGAGTATGGAATGTTTGATGATAATTATAAAGTAGGCTATTGATCTTGCTGCTTTAATATGTTGTGAAAGCTTCACTGTTTGACTGCCGTTTTCATTAGCCATCACTGGCTCACCGTGTGTGTCTTCAGTGGCACGGAATTAAAGCAGCCCCTCTCTCTGTTTGGACTGCATGGATGGAGCCGGCCAGGAAAGGTCAATACAAAATTAATATGGGCATTAATATTTTTAATGCAAACCTGAGGCAGACACGCTCGTAGTTTTGACCAAAGGCTGCACAAAGTCACACATGGGGCTTCTGCGGTGGCGTAAAGCGCGGCACACCTGCGAGAGCCTGGCATGCATTTACTGCAAGTGCGTAATGCATGAGGGATCATAAAGGAGAAAACTTGTGCAGCAGTGACACACAATCTCCACTGCATTTTTAACTGATTGTAAAACAGCAGGGAAAATCTGTTTCAGGAGAACAAACAAACATTTAAAGGCTGCCTGTATGGTTTGGAGGTTTAATTACATTTATGATTTCAGGGAAGATTTGAGTTTAAAAACACAGTGCTGGGTGTAAATGTGCTTAATACACATTTATGTGTTCCAAAAACAGCCCCTAATTGCACAGTAATTATTTATGCCAGTAAAACACAAGCCGGGGAGAGTGAAAACATGAAGAGAACAGGCCTGGTGACATTCAGTTTTCCCAGGATAAAATGATGGCTTGGTAGAAGAATCCCCATCTGTGTGAATGTACCTGCTGTTATTTATGGGATTCTTGCCTAAAAATGCACACTGCAGATGCCAGTAATTAATCCACCACACAATTAGATATTGTTCCAATTCACAGCTGAGTGCAATTACCATAGAGGGGTTCCCATAGATCATGCTGGCACTGGTGTAGCTTTGGCAGCGAGAGCACTAATTCTAATCCTTAACCCGAGGCCGCATGCACAGGCCTCCTTTAATGATCCTCTAAATGATGTTGATGGAGAAATAATCATTTTTCCATTGAAAGACTTTCAGACACTGATTAACACAGCCGCAGACCATGTAATTTGTGTGTGTTATGTTTTTCTCCAAAGTGTAAACATGGACGATCTCTTCAACATCTAACCTGTACTAACTGATTCAAGCAGTTTTGCATTATAATGAGTGCTGCCTTAAAGGTTAAAAAGTGCCATTAGGCCCTTGTTAAGACACCAGAAAGTGGAGGAAAGGCCCGTTCGTGCTGGGTAGAGGTGGTCTGGAATTGCGAGTGATGGTTAGCAGTGTGGCTCTGCTTATCGGTGTGATGCTTCACCGACAGCACTGACCTCAGCCATTCCCAAACGTCAATCCAAGTCTGGCTGCACTGGCTTTTCTTTGTAGATGTGCACATCTTTTTATTTTAAATCCACTCTCATTACAGTTCCCCTCGGCCAGTCAGTGGGAAAAGCCCTGCTGAAAGTTGAGGAAGTAATTGAGCGTATCTGCCCCTCCACTTTACAGCCAACCCTGCTCCTATTTGCCTAGATTCCAGATGCGGCGGCGGCATCACTTGAGCATTCATGTCTGGACAGTGGACGCAAGGCCTCATTATCAGCCAGCAGAACTGTCAGAAAAAAAAGCAAAATGCTGCTGTAATATAATCTGGACACTGGACATTTCCCCCCTTCTAATGATGGTCTG